ACTTCATCATCATTGTCGCTAACGAGAACAACAATTTATCAAAAGACACACCCTTGTCAGCTACTGTATCCAAGTTATTCTCTGTATCCAAGTTCATCCCGAGGATAATCACCAAAGCCACCAGACAGCTTTATGATGCCAATGAAGCAAGATCATGAGCTATTCAATGAAACTCGTATTGTAAAGAAGAAGAAAGAGACTGATTCAGAAAGGTGGGTCGAGGGTCGAGCCTCGACTATACATGTACGCTTTTTACTTTTCATTAAGTATTTTTATTTACTTTTATATAAATTTTGAAATACTAATTTAATATAATTTTTCTTATAGGTTCGCTTCACAGCTGATGTGGAGGAATTCATACGCAGTCAGCCACCTAATGAGTCGGGCGAGGCAATCCAACTTTCGGACGAGGATGCTGAAAGAACACTCCTTGAGTACTTTATATACTTTGAACTAGACAATAGAACCAGTTTTCGAATGAGCTTGTAATAAGCATTAACTTAGTTTTGTTAGCTTAATGTGTTAGTTCTATTGAACTTTATACTTCGTTGGTTTTAATGTTGTTGTTGTTGTTGTTGTTGTTGTGTTGTTGTTTGTATTGTTGTTGTTGTTGCTTGTAATAGGGATTTGGTATGCTGGCAGGTGCTGTAGCTGTCAAAACAGGCAGTTTCTACCAAAATAATACCCAGAAAAGCGACCAACTTTGATCTCTTTTTGGTCGCTTTTCATTTAAAAAAAATAATTTTCTGGGAAATAGCGACCAAAGTTGGTCTCTTTTTATCCAGATTTCTAAAAAAGCGACCAACCTTGGTCGCTATTCCATTAAAAAAAATAATTTCTGGAAAAATAGCGACCAACTTTGGTCGCTTATATTTAAAAAAAAATTAAATTCTTGAAATTAGCGACCAACTTTTGGTCGCTTATTTTTAAAAAAAATTAAAAAAATTAATAAAATAGCGACCAACCTTGGTCTCCATTTTCCAGATTTTAAAATATAATATTTGGATTAGAGACCAAAGTTGGTCGCTGTTTTATGAATAAAAATAAATAAATAAATAATATTTTACATTTAGAGACCAACTTTGGTCGCCAAATTTATATTATTAAAATAATAAAGCGACCAAAGATGGTCGCTATAGTCAATACCCGGAATATTTGGTCATTTTACCTTAGAGACCAAAGTTAGTCGCTAATTAGCGACCAACTTTGGTCCCTAAAGTGAAGGGACCAGCAATATAGCGACCAGGCATGTTTGGTCGCTTTTTGGTCGCTTTTGGGCCTATAAGCGACCAACTTTGGTCGCTTTTTGTGGTCGCTCTTTACCGGATTTCTAGTAGTGAAAGAGGATTGAAGTTAAACGATGCGGTGATTCTCTTGAAAAATCAATGAAGATTTGAGGAATAGCTAGACTATAACGGAAAGGCAATCGAAGACATTATTTACGCCTTAGATTCGTCCGCCTGACGTGCACATAAAAGCTGCAACACTGGTTCAACAGGTAAGTGACACAAGCTTATTTGCATTATCTCCTGAGCTTGTTCACACAACTTTTAAAACCTTAGTAAAACATACCTTAGAAGTGTTTCTTTGCTGTGCAGAGGTGAAAGACTGCAAATTAAAGATAGAAACGAACAACTCAGTCGAGCAACTGCTGGTCCTAGTTTCTACCTACCTCTGCGAAAATTGAAGCAATTCGTGGAAGGTACTCTTAGTTGAGACCAGAGGGTTGAATCTGGCCTGTAAGCCGAGAAATTGGATAAACATCCAAGACTCTGAGGGACTAATCCATGAGATTACATGTTAGCCAACAAAGAAATTTGCAGGCTAAACCAAATTAGAATTTGCTGTTTCATATCATAAGCTAGTAAACAAGCCTATCAAGGAGAATGAGAGAACCAGATTCAATATGGTTTCACATAACTTCTTGATCATGTTAACTGATTTTCTTGCTCAACATATCTTTTAGAAACTTTCATGATAATGGAGGAAGGGGTAGAGCTTTCACTATGAAATATAGCCGCTTCTGAATTGGGATAATAAGCAGTTCAGAGCAGCTGTACAGGAACCATCTATTCACCCGTTGGCTGAATGAGATTCAAGCAAACAGCAATTGGCTAGAAAATTGCATCATACCTTCATCTTCCTGGTCAAATATTTGAACGACACAGTTGCAGAAATCATAGATTCATTGCACTCAGCTGTGGAGTTAGAATATCAGAAAATTTCAAGAATGCTACGGTTGGATTTGAACCTATAACCTGAAGCTATTTTTAAGCCACCTTTGCCACTCCACTAGCATCTTCCCTTTTGTCAAGAGAATTATTTTACCCTATTTGCGCAATATTAGTTTTTGACGACGGCCGCCCCTTGCGTCCACCTAACTTTGCCCCTGATTGCACTGATGACAAATTAGCATCTTCTTTAGGTGATAGAATGGATTCCAGTTCCATCTCCTGCTGAGGCAATAGCAATGACCACGCCGATGCCCAGGTGGCTACTGGTACTGTTTTCTGAAGATTCCTCAACAGATTAATCATTCGGTTTTTCATTTCTTCAGTAGCAAGATCTTTTCCAGCACATAGAACCTAAAAAAAAGCACAACTTATTTGTCGTAAGATCTTTGCAAATTATTTCAACAATTTCATACTATTTACCTATCTACTTCTTTGATTAATGATTATGTTATTTCGTATCAGAAATTCGCTTTGTATGTGCTGTAAGCAGTATAGATCTGATAGACAAATTACTAACATACAACGAAAATTACTAAATAAGATTTTGTATTAGTTCTCTTAATTTACTGGATAAAAAATAAGAATAAGAGTTGAGAATATTTATATCAGGAACAAATGAATAACTCAATCTGGCATCTGTAGGTTCTGATATCGAAATAACCTCTGCAAAAACTGACAAAATTTTTGGAAAGTGCTCATATTTGGGACCCAAAAGTTCTCTGTCTGACCTGCAAAGCGAGAAAATTTGCTAAAACGTTAAAGACTAGAAAGAAATTGATTTAAGAGACAACATATTAGAGTTTGCAAACTTCAGCTGGTGTTCAATTTGCTGAATGGAAAAATAGACAAATCATAGTAACAACTACCAATAAGATGATCAAGTCAACCCGACAAATGCTACAAAGATTATGGTTTAATAATTCATCTAACATTAGAAAGAACATGATGATCTTTTAATTTAGTAGAAAAGCCTTCTGTCAAGATTCAAGATTGCAACTGCTAATTCTGTTAAACCAAATGTAACAGATATTTTCTAGTTACACCATTTTGGAACTTCAAGCATTTTGTTTGGCTAATGGTCGCGTAATTTTCCTACATATATCTGAAATTAGGAATTTATTTGGAACATATGCATCATGCATGCTATTATAAGAACACTCGTACTTTTATCTACGGAAAACATTTTAAATTATATGTTGCTATTTTGTGATCCTTTTTTTTCTTCAAGTTTTACAATTGATGCACCAAGATTTTGGAGTAATGAGAAACAATTGCTAAAAGCTAGTTGGCCAACAAATGTGTTGACAAAAACCCAAAACAATTGAATATTTGAAATTAGTAAAGATAGGTTGTCATTAATAATCTTGTAACCTGCCTTGGCAATCAGTAATCTTAATAAAAAGAAAATCTGAAAAGTAAAGTAAAGACCAGATGAGATGATGATAGAAACTAGAGCAGATTAGTCCAGTACAGTACCTTTCGACCATTGAACAGAGCTGGTCGTGAACAACCATGTTACCTCTTATAGGCAGACAATTCAACCAAGCCGGAATAATCTAGCAAGAAAAATTGGAATGAGAAATAAATGGAATTTCAACAAGTTATGAAGTACATTGGAGGAGCATCATTTCATCTTGGAAGAACAAAAGCGACATGTTTTACCAAAATTCAGATATGGTGAGCACATGCGTACTCAGTTGTAACAAACACCAAGCACCATGTTAGCAGTCCAGTTTCTTCAGAACAATGAAAAGTACTGACCATGCATGTTATACATAAAAGTGCCTTATGTTTCCTTTTGAAACGAGCACCATGTGTCTATATTCCTAGTTTATTGCAGTCATTTATAAGGCTGGTATACTGACTTTCAGATTTTAAAATTTGTAGGACAAAAAGCTGGTCATCGCACGTGCTATGAAATGAAGTTAGTAGAGAAGTACAACAACAAAATCTAAATGCATATATACATATATATGTGTGTGTATTTATATGAGCTGAGCAATAAAACATTAGGGATTCCCAGAAAATCGCACCTGCGTGGAGTCAATACTTTCCCGATGAAACTGACATATCTGACCAAGTGCCAAAACAGCATCATGATATGCCTGTTCATTTTCAGGTGCAAGAGCATGCAGATGTGTTATCACAACATTGATCCTTGAAAGAGCCTCTGAATCACGTCATGAGATTTAGTAAATACAAAAATATATCACTCTTCATCCACTTCCCCATGATGAGAAGAATCTCAAAATCACATTCAACGATATCATACCTCCAATAAATGGTTTGAAAACAAAACCACCATATTCCGCACAAAGCCTAAGTCCATAAAGTGCATTCTGAACATAACACCAATGGTGTTTGGATGAATCATACAATAAATGTCATATGACTGAATACTATCCGAACCACCAAGATGCACAAACCTCTCTAAGAACTGGATTTTCGTCGTTGCTTGAGTCCAAAAGAAAAGGAAGACATATATTATAATACCTGGTTTGAACAGAAAGTAACTATCAGAATTGTGACCTTATTTAAGTAAAACCTCATAAAGATAGACCTACTTTAGAGCTGATTCGTTGCATTCCTCCACAAGTTTATTAAAGATATTTACACATGCACTTCTCTCTTGAGCTGTTTTATCCTTGCCCTTTCAAGCAGTGAAAAAAGAACAATGAGAAATATTGGTGGAAAACAACCTAGGGGATCGAAACGTCATTGGTTACCATAAGCTGAAACTCACTGTCATAGGCATTAGATATGAGGAAAGCTCATCAAGGAAAGGCAAGAAAGCAGCCTTGAAGGTTTTGATCAATGTCAACAATATGCAACCAACCCTATAAAATACTTTTTCTTCTAGCTCTCTTTCCTCCCTCAGCAATTCAGCTTCCTCAGCATCAAAGTCTTCTGATTTCTCTCTCTCTCTCAGTTTTCCTTTTCTACGTGAACTTTCTATAATGACGTGCTTTATCCCATCTGTGATTCTATGAACCTGATATTCATTGAGAAGTGATCCACCGATCTGAAAGAAGACACAAAAAGGACCATAAGAAGTGAAAGTTGCCGTTCTAACTCATGTCAAGGGAATTTTTGTAAATATAGGATTTTTGTACAAGGTTGTCCTATTTTACACTTTCATTCTTACGAGCATGAACAAGTGTGTTGCTTATCATAATGGACATAAAAAGCTTGAAAAGAAACTGCATAGAGTCAATTCCTGCAAAGTAAAGAAACCATCATAACCTGACATACATTTAGGCTATTATTCAATTCCTGCAATATCTTTTCACATAGTTTTGTCTCAGGCTCCTGCATGCAATAGCAATTGAAGTGTCACTTTCTCCTTGTTCAGATAAATGGAGCTCAAACCTTTTCCCAACAGGAAAAAGAAACCGTAAATATTAATGTGTTGAAGCCAACCAAATACAATGCGTCCCCCAAAGCCAATATTATACGGCCAGGCAACCGCTTCAAGTACCACTTGTTTCCACCTCGAGCAGTCCCTTTCTCTACTGCCAGTTTAGCAGAACGCAACAAGGATACCATTGCTTAACCACCACAGATTAAAACAATATCTCATTAGAAATTCGATAAGTTAAAGAAAAAAAATATTGGAAACCATATGAAAGCATGAGATTTTTTACCACAACTAGCACGTTCCCTGACAGAAGAGTGGATATAGAATTTCAGAAGCGGAATTAAAATTGAAGCAGCCTGTTTCAGGGTTTAAGACATAAATATCACCTGTTAAGTTTGAATCCACTTAACAACACATGAAGAAAAGTAAATGTACTAGTGATCGTTCATGCTATCATGCCAACCTTGGGAATCCATGGATAAAAATCTTCCCCCAATTCATGAGCATATAATTTAAGGGCCGAGCACAACATTGATTTCCCTTCGAGGAGGTCACTTCCATAGATGCATATCATTTCACCCCCAAACATGACTTTGTGCATACTGCAAAATGTGAAACTTAAGCAAGATATCCCTGGTAGCCCGAATTATTTTGAGAATCACTCGTGTTGTTATCTGTTGGGAGATATGGAAGTCTAGGTGTGCTATTAAGTATGGATCCTCCACGCTATCCATTAAGCGTACGACTTATCAGATTTTGTTCTTCTTGAAATGGGTGGTATTCAAATATAAAGGGAATAATGAATGGCCTACAAGTTGGGAAGCTATATGCAGGCTGGTTATTGATCTTTCTCCCAGAACTGAATCTCACAGTTAATGGGAAAGGCCACCTCCGAACTGGATGAAAATAAACACTGACGGCAGTAGAAATATGGAGGAAATGACTGGTGCCGGAGGCATCTGTAGAGACCATAAATGGCAAGATGATAAATGAAAAATTCAAACCTCAATGATAAAAACTTACCTATCATATAGTTTATCTGAGGATACAGTCTTATCGGGCTCAAGTCGAGCACATTCAACTGCATATGGCATGACTATTCTCATGTAAGGAAGAAACTCCTTCCCAATGCACACACAAATCCCGTATGATGCCTGCAGTAAACCAAGAAAAGATTGAGAGGCTAGTCTAATCAAAAGTGCTGAGCCTGTAAAACCAAACGAGTAACACTTACCTTTAGACAGCAAAGAATATTTGTATACTCTGTCACATGTGATTCTTGTAAGGAGTACTTAAGCACTTCCATAACCTTTAATATAACAGAACATATAGAAAGGAAGGTCCGCGTTTAGAAATGAATGAATGTATAAGATCACACCACGAAGAGAAGAAAAGAATGCCAAGAGAGATGCAGAATGTTGGACCAAAAAGGAACTAGGAGGAGAAAATATATGAGGCATTAGTCATTGATCCCAACAGTTGAAGAAAGTGGTAATTCAAATAGGTGTAATCAATAATATGGTTTGTCTATGGAAAAGCCATTTAAGCACACTTTTCACTTAATCATGGTTAATTAACATATATTTTCACCTCAAATTATCAATAAACCATGATAAATCTTTGTGGCATGGTATAAATACCGGTACTGTAGATAAGTTTTTCCCATAGCACTAATACATCGCACGCACATGCAAAGAGAAGCATCGAGTATAGTTTGGAGACGACCTGCTTCAAGTCATCTCTGAATTTCTCTTTGCCTGCAGCAAGCGCAACTTTGCTTTGAAGCATCTGATTAGATTCATCATTTGCATTTACCAAGATCGTTCTTAAATATGGCATTAGAAAATCATAGTACTTTTGGAAGTGCTCCTGTTGAAGTAATATATTAGTCATCATTAGCTACAACATAAGTAGAAACAGAATTGAGTCAAAAATAAATGCAAGTAGGTAATACCTTATAGAGATAAGCTACACTACCCAATGCATATAATGCTTCATCTTGAACCATTTGATTGTCATTCTGCATTTCAGACAACAGCAATGAATCTCTTAAGACTCGTTAACAGTAATCTACCTTTATAACAAATCTATCTTTGCATACCTGTAGAAGTACAAACAGTTTGTTAAGTATTCCATCAATGTGGGAAGAGCTTATTGGCTCTTTAAGTGCAAGTAGGAACATCACGGAAGCTGTAGCTGCACATGCCTATGAAAACGCAAAGAGAGTAAAACGAGTAACATTGTAGGTATTTTGAACTGAATGAAGCAGCAATGACACAGCTGTACCAAATCTTTACACTACGAATTCTTCAAACTCTATTCTGAAAAGGGCCAAAGCTATCCCTTTTGTTTAGTAAATGGTTTAAAATTAACCTTTGTCCACCTTTTGGTCCATAAATACACACAACGCTATTTTCAGGCTTAAAATTACCCCTCCTGCTAACGGCACAACATGTCGGCCCCACTTTTAATGAGTTGGCAACGTACACGTGTCATTAGCTTTAAAGAAAACTTGCATCCTCTTCCCTCACCATCTTCACCACCCCATTTTTAGCCATAACCACTGCATAATCCAGCCGGAAAATATTTCCAAAGCAATCAATTGGATCCGTTGCCACCCCAGCCAAATCTGTGGTGTCCAAATTTGTGGTCTTAGTGTTTGGTGTCTAATCTTCCATGTTTCTATTTTTACGAGCTTTGTGTTGTTTCTGCTCATTCATGGCGAATTTCAAATCTGCTTTTCCGGAATATAAATTGACTCCAAAATACAATTGGGTTATGAGTCAGTGATTCTAACTCCTTTCCTCCCCCCTTTCCCTCTATTGTCTTCTTTGTTCTCCTCCAGGTGCTTGTTCATGGAGTATTTGGCTTAGAGGGTGGTGAATCACCACAGGTGTTATAGTCAAGAGACCTTCTCAAAATATTCAAAAGTTACATCTAGAACACAAGAACTTAAGCAGATGCAATAAAATAATTAGTCCGGTATAGAGTTATATTCCACCAACAATGAGGTTATTGTGTTCCTGTTTAAGCCGAGGATTCTTATCAGTTGAACATAGTAAAATATGTAAAGTTAAGTAATTATTCTGCCTAAGGATAGCAATACAAAACTTTAAAGATTCAACTTACTAAACCTATACCAAGTTATAGATCATCAACTATATGGAATATGTAACCCCATTGTAAAAGTGCAGCAAGATAGATACTTTTGCTGGTTGTTTCCTGTATCAATAATAAAAAAATTACTTTATAGCTGCTATTATATAACCATAGGTCAAACCTGCACTCGAGGATTTTGAAAATCATCCATAGCTGCAGCTAATTCTGGCAATACTTGGTTATGATACTGTTCTTGCAAATCTGGACAGAAGTCGGTCGACAAATAGACAATTGCATTAATAGCAGCCCATCTGACTCGAGGATGAGAATCTCGAAAAGAATGCAGGACCATATTCACTACTTGCTCCAAATACTTGATCATCATCACCTATAAACAGAGAAACCATGGGTTCAAGCTTAACAGCCTAAGAAAATTAAACTAAAACAAATAGGGGCATGTGGGCAAACTATCTTATATCCTAGCAAAATAGCACCCTCTTAAATGCTACAAAATAATCCCATGAATACACTAATTAATGTAAAAGAGTTGTACCTTTGAGCTACCTTTAGCAATTTGAGCAAGTGCCATGAGAGCTGCGTGGCGTTTCTCCCACTCAGGGGCAACCACGTAAGAACTCAGCTGTTCTATGGCAATAGGAGCAATAATGTTGCCACCTAATGCTTTAGAAAATCGGCGTAAACGGATGGCACCATAAAGGTAGTTGTCCACTGTCCATCGATCCCAGTATCTATTAAGGTGGTCGTCCATCTCTGCACCCTCAGCACTATGCCAACTAGGTTCATCTTTAATATCCAGTATCAAATTCAAAAACATTGTGAAACAAGTGTCAATAAACCGTGGCAGCTTCTTCATCATACCGGGGACTTTCTCCCTCGCCTCGACCAAAGTTAACAGAAATTCAATTGCCAAACGCCTTGTCTTATCTTCCAAAATCTTAGCCTCTGCTATCTCAAACATGGTATTAACCACTTCCACTAGTTGCAGCCTCAAAAACCTAGGCTCATTCTTCGCCAACTGTATAAGAAAACCCAGCGCGGCGTGTGCTGCCCCTTGATTTTCCCCATTTGTCATTAATGTGTCAGTCAGCGTTTTCATCATCCCTGGCAGTAAATCCTGAAACCGCTCCTTTTCATATGAACTCGGTGTGCACTGAATGAAGATGTGCACAGCAAACATGGCCGTGATCCTCACATTGAGATCGAGTTTATGGTCATTCAGTGTATTAAGGAATAAAGAGTGCAAATCTCGTACCCAAGGAAGTATTTTTTCGCCAATCTTTTCACCTAGAAGGCAAAATATTAAGAAAACTGAGTCTTTTAACAACTTGTTTGAACTGGAATCAGTGACGCAATGATACAAGAATGGCAATAATTCAGGCCAATTGTCATCGGGCAGAAGTGAAGCAGCTAGTTCCAAAACGGTTCGAGAGAGCATGTTGTGGATGTATGTTGATTGTTCGAGCTCGAGACGCATAAGGAGATTAGACTTTAAAATGGATTGAGTTGAAACGCTTAAACTGTTCCAAAGGCAAAAGTCATTAACCAACGTGAAAAAGAGGGCAACACATTTCGTACGGAAATCAATGTCATCATGTGAAGAACCAACATCAAGTTTAAGAGCAAAGGAATTTGGATCCTTTTGAAACATCAAGTCGAACATTGACACAGCCACCAAATCTTTTTCATCAGTTTCCCACAGGTATTCGGAAACAAGGCTTTCAAATGAAATCTCCTCCATCTGATAAATTTCTTAGTATTAACATCAAGTACTACCTTATTATATATGTTCTTCATTGACTCAAATAGAACAAGTCTTCCAAAAATATCTTTTTTACTATATGACAAGTGACTTGACCGGTATCCTTTCTCTGCTTTACTAAATGGAGATTTTTCTCAGTTACTGTTTCGAAAGGAGCATATTGGCGTAACTGATAAAATTGATGACATGTGTCCCCGACGTCGCCGGTTCTAGACTATTGTGGTCCGCCTCTTCCAGGCCCGCCCATAACGAATAAATGCAGTCAATATAGGGGAAATCTATCTTTCTTTTGTTGCTTTCTCGTGGTCTCTTCATTTGTCTTTATCTTATTGTTGCGTGAAAATGTTGGAATTCGGCTCCTTTCTAATAAGTGGAGTAGCTGTTTCTGGGGTAGTGACTGCACTAGTTTTTGCCAAACAACAAAATTATCTACATAGATCTGATAACAGATTTGGCCCACCAAATGTCAAATGATTGAAGAAAAAGTAACTTTAAACAAAAAAACATTACATGTGGGGCTACTATTTTTGAAGAAGTTTTGCCATTACTGTAGTACTGTAGAAGAATCTTATCTCTCCTCCTCCTTTTTTTTAAAATTATTATTGTTGTTATTATATATTCTCCCCTTTGTGGTGGTAGTATCTGTCATTATTTTGTTACAAATAATTGTCTAGAGAATTAGTAACTCAAATTGAGAGTAAACTATACTATGGTTTGCCTATGGTGTTAAGGCCATCGGACATAGCATAAGTAATAGCTTATCAATACTTTTTTTTACCAAAGACTACTTATTATTAGTTTTAACACTTCTATTAAAATACATAACAGTGTATTTATAAAATTTTCAACACGTAAAAATATTCTTCAATCTTATTAGTTATTTACAATCATCTATACCAAACGAGCTCTAAAACAATTGACTAAAAAAGAAACCACATGCCCCCTGTCTCCCAGTGTTGTTCATAACTTCTTACTTTTGTTATTTTTCTCCTCTCAAGTCTCCCAATCTCTTGTTCATTACTTGTTACTTTTGTTATTTTCTCCTCTCAAGTCTCCCAATAAAGTCAACATTTTCCTTTTGTGAACACATGTAAATGCTCAGAAAGAAGACATCCAGTAGGAATCTTAACAGCATCAAGTATAGTATAGGCCGAGCGGATCCAGGATTTAAATCCTATGGGTTCAACTTTTAAGATTTTTAGTATTGAACTCATTATATTTTTAAAGTTATGGGTTCATATCTACTTTTTTGCAATTTTAGTGAATACAAATTTTTACTCCGCGTCGAAAGTTACGGTAATTGAACTCGTTGGTAGAACACTACATCCGCCCCTAAGTAAAGAACAAACTTACTGGTAACAAGGGATATGAAGCCTACATCATTGCTTTCTTGCTCACTAAATGTTGTCAAAGGTAATCAATAGATACTTTTGAACAAACAAACTTATTGTTGCAGCTTTTTTGTCATAATTGTATGGGTCAAAATTAGACCAGAGAAATTCGGCACGCGAAGACATAAAGCCAAGGTCGGACAGACCAAGGTCGGGTCGTCATCAATAAAGCCAAGGCCGCACCGTCATCAAGAAGGTCATGGTCGGATAGGCCGAGGTCGGACAGGCCGAGGACATGAAACTGCTAGTTTGCTTTAGAATACTCAAAAGGAATATTCTACCGAATATTCTCTCTAAATTGTACCTTTTGTAAGGATTTTCTATGGATACCCCCCTTATAAATAGGAGGGGAGGACTTCCCATTGAGGGAGCTCTCTCTCGGTCTCCCTCTCCCTCTTTCTAGAAAATATGTAAACACATCTCTCAAAAGAGAGAAGAGGATCTGTGATCCAAAACCTTCATCAGATCCAAAAAGGGTCCAATGGTTCTTATATTTTGTCTATCATTCATCTTTATCAAATGAAAGAAGATCCGACTAACTCAAGATCGGGTGAATCTTTTCCTTTATCTACATTTTATTGCCATTTAATGTTATTCAATGCATCTTTCTTTATGTTATTAAATCCGGCTATAATCACGCCCAATATTTATACTCGGCTATGTTTTTCTACTCATATTATTCGTCTCGGATCTAGAGTTAATTATCTTTAACTAGGATTTACCCCTTCATCTATTTGATTGATTTGCTTAAAAAGTGTTAAACAACTTTTGAGTCAAACAATAATAGGAAGAACAAAGCTTAGCTTCTTTTTTCTTCTTCTTCTTCTGTTTTTTTCTCTGCACAATAACAACTAGGAATCCAATATGCCTTGCGAAAACATCTCTAGTTTATCGAAAATGCCAATATTGTTATTATTTCCCACAAGTACACTAAATAAATACCTGGAATTGCATATTTTAGTTTTCTGTAAGCTTCTGTGATTGTTTTTCCTTATAGTTTCCAGGTGACTTTTTTCCCATTTGCCAAATCATAGTGTGTAGAGTTACAATATGCCTTGCAGCTTTATATAATAACTTGTAGTTATATCTATTCACATATCATCAAAAGAAAAAAGCAATTATCCAGGCTAGCTTCTTTTTCTACTTCTGTTTTCTTCTCTGAAACAATAATTTAACAACAAGGAATCCATATTAATAAGGTTTACGACCCACCCTTAGTGATATTATTTTTTTGATTTTGTATCTTTTCTATTTCATTTTTGAATTTGAATTTTTGCATCAGAATTGGATTCTGTTTGATTGTATTTGATTGTATTCACCCGGCAGAATCTAAATAGGATTAGAAAGAGAACTTCTTTTTATTATTCGAACGTACCAACTAGTTATGAAATCGGATTGATAGCCTCCACCCGTGTTCTAGCTCGTCGGAGAGCTAGATTTGTCTCAATTTTTTGTCTCCTTCCTTCAGCCTTTTTCACATTAGCTTCCGCTAGTTCAAGAGTTTGCTGAGCTTCTTGTGGATCAATGTCACTACCCTTCTCCGCATCATTTACTAAAACAGTGATCTCATTATTGCCTATTCTAGCAAAACCACCCATCAGAGCCATCGTTAACCATTGGTCGTTAAGACGTATTCTCAAAATCCCTATATCTACAGCTGTGGCAATAGGGGCGTGATTTGGTAATATGCCAATTTGACCGCTATTAGTAGATAAAACAATTTCTTCCACTTCTGAATCCCAAACAATTCGATTAGGGGTCAGTACACTAAGATTTAAGGTCATTTCTTCAAATTGCTCTCCATTTCTAAGTTCATAGCCTTCGCGGTAGCTTCATCGATATTACCTACCAAATAAAAGGCCTGTTCAGGAAGACCATCTAATTCTCCGGAAAGGATCAATTGAAATCCTCGAATTGTTTCTTCAAGACCAACATATTTCCCTGGAGAACCGGTAAATACTTCTGCTACGAAAAAGGTTGTGATAAGAAACGCTCAATTTTTCGCGCTCTTGCTACGAGTAAACGATCCTCTTCGGATAATTCGTCCAATCCAAGGATAGCTATAATGTCCTGAAGTTCTTTGTAACGTTGTAAAGTTTGCTTAACTCTTTGGGCGGTTTCGTAATGTTCCTCACCAACGATCCGAGGTTGAAGCATGGTTGACGTTGAATCTAAAGGATCTACTGCTGGATAAATACCTTTGGCAGTCAATCCTCTTGATAGTACGGTAGTAGCATCTAAATATGCAAATGTCGTAGCAGGAGCAGGGTCGATCAAATCGCCTGCGGGTACATAAACTGCTTGAATAGAGGTTATGGACCCTTCTTTGGTAGAAGTAATTCTTTCTTGTAAAGAACCCATTTCGGTACTCAGGGTGGGTTGATAACCCACAGCGGAAGGCATTCTACCCAATAAGGCCGATACTTCGGATCCTGCTTGGACGAAACTGAAGATATTGTCAATAAATAGAAGTACGTCTTGTTCATTAACATCTCGGAAATATTCCTCCATAGTTAGGGCAGTCAAACCAACTCTCATATGAGCTCCCGGTGGTTCATTCATCTGACCGTAAACTAGGGCCACTTTTGATTCTGCAATATTTTCTTCATTAATCACTCCAGATTCTTTCATTTCCATGTAAAAATGTTCACCCACTCCGCCAAATACGGATACGCCCCCGTGAGCTTTAACAATATTGTTAATCAATTCCATAATAAGTACGATTTTACCCACTCCAGCTCCCCCGAATAGTCTGATTTTTCCTCCACGGCGATAAGGGGCTAAAAGATCTACTACTTTAATTCCTGTTTCAAAAATAGATAATTTTGTATCCAATTGTATAAAGGCGGGCGCAGAACCAATAGATAAAAAAAAAAGAAGAGGAACTTGAGTCATTTTAAACTTGTGGAAACATCTTGTAACACCCAGACTTTAGACAGAGTCCCACATCGGCAAAACACAAGAGGGTGTTGGGTATATAAGTTAACAAGCCTTAGACTCTAGTGACGCGTTTTAAACCCGAGAGGGCCTAGGCCCAAAGCAGACAATATCACTTGCGCGCTGGGCTGTTACACATCTCTAGTTTATCTAAAAATACCAATATTGTGATTATTTACCGCATCTGGTTTATTGGTTGACAGGGTTAATATTGCTCGTAGCCTTCTCCCGAAGTACAACTCGCCTATTCAAGCTAATCTAACGCCTATATTCCTATGGAATTAGAATTAACAAGAACGCATTAATAATTCCTGTATAGTAACCAAGCAAGGCGATTAGGTATATTCCTATCGTAACCGCAAATCTGCTCCCCCTAAGAGTTAAAGATTTTGCTCTACTCAATCTTATATGCAATCAAATAATTAAGTGCAAGATTGAATAAATAAACCAATATGATAAAATAATAAGAACAATTCAAGCTTCAAACTACAACGTTCATGTAGCACCCAAAACTCTAGAACTAAGAAACTATGAAATTAAAGGAAGAGAAGAGAAGAGAAGAAAAACTAGTTAGAAGCCTCCTCCAAGCGTGGTGTGTGTTTCCCCACGTGAATTACCTTCAAAGTATGTTAGATCCCCCCCCCCCCCCCCCCCACGTAGTT